AAAAAAAACAAACAAAAAAAACCAACTTTCTAGATGGAAAGAATATATGTATAAAGTTATTGAGGCATTTTTTAAAATGGTACTTTTGAACAATTGAGAACAGTTCAGTCTAGCTGGAGCACATGAAGGTGAGAGGAGATAAGGCTGGAGAGAAGCCTATATCATAATGAATCTTGTTTTTGAAGAAAGTACCCTGTAGCTAACCAAGGGTTTGGCAGAGTGATGAGCTTAACAACAACAAAAAACCTTATAATCTTATTCTTTATTCTTCCTTCTCATCATTTTAGATACTCTTACTTTGTCCTGATAATGTGATTCCTGCACATGTTGCTCTTATATGTGTAATGTGCAAGCAACTCAGGCTTCCCCTGATGTCTGCCTCATCTTCCCCATGTTACAGATACAAGTCTATTTTTTAACTCTACTACATGTTCATTTTATAAATATCAAAGAGTTTCAAACCTAGAAAAGACCTAAAGTAAGATTTCTAGCCTATAAGGTACAGGAGAGCTCGGTTCCATTTCCAAAGAAAAAACTGAGAAAAGAAGCTGATTCAGGAGAGTGTGATAATTGAGTTTTGAACAGAGTGTGAAGGAAAAACTAATGTGATATCCAAGTGAAATTGAGCTTTAGAGCTTTGCCAAAATACAAAACTTGAACTCAAGCACCATCAGGACTAGAGATGCGTATATGTGAATATACTGACCACAAAAAAAATAATAATAAATAAAAATAAACTATAAGACCCACGAGCTAGCTGAATCAACAGAAAGAGAAATGTAGTTGGAACTGTAGTGGATTAAGCTCAGTTAGAACATAGGAAGACTCAAAGGAGGACAATTTAGGGAGATACAAGGAAAATCATGTAGGTCTGAAGTATGAGAGTCATTTCAAGGGAACTTCTTCCTCTCATTTAATCCCGATAGCCAATCAATCAGCAAATTCTACCTGCCTCCTTCTTATATTTTTATGCTTGCTTCTCCTTTCCTTTCTTATCATTCCTTCCTTAATTCTCTCCTAGACTACTTATGTGGCTCCTGAACTGGTCTCCCTGCCTCCAGTCTTGTCCATTTTCCCCTCTAAATCCATCTTCCACACTATTACCGTAGTGACTTTCATAAAACCCAAAGCTAATATTACACATCTGCTTAGCATCTGCTAATGGTTCAACTCATTAGTCAATTAACAAGTCTCCTCTCCAGCCTTATCTCCTTTCACCTTCATACTCAGTCTGTGCTCCAGCTAGACTGAACTGTTCTCAATTGTTCAAAAGTACCATTTTTAAAAATGCCTCAAAAACTTTGTACATATATCCTTTCTATCTAGAAAGTTGTTTTTGTTGGTTTGTTTGTTTGTTTTTTGTTTGGGCAGCTGGCTAGTATGGGGATCTGACCCTTGACCATCTAGAAAGTTCTTACCTACCTTCCCTTTTTCTGACTATCTGTACTCATGTTTTAAGATAGCTCAATCAGCCTATCTTCTGTGAAGCTTCTATGTGATCCTCTCAGTCAGAGTTAGATATTTCTTTACAGAATGAACAAGTACGCTCTCATTCTTCCACCACCACACCTTGAGGTCACCATATTGAGCACGGCTCTTCTATAGGTGTTTCTCAGGACTTTCCTGAGTGTCTAGAAGATCAAAAATACAAAACTCTCTCCCTCGATCTGATTAGGTTTGGAAATTGGAAATCTTGCTCTTGGAGAAAAATGAAATAAAACAGATTAACAAAAAATTACCAGCCCTTAAGACTCTGGAGACAAATGAAAGATGTAAATGATGGACGTAACATTTAAGAAAGCAGTGGATGAATAATATAGTACAAAAAATGGGCAAAAGACTTGAACAGGCATGCCACAAAAGTAGTTATCCAAAGAGCCAATAAATATGTGGAAAAGTGCTCGTTCTCAGTAGTCATCAGGAAAATGTAAATTAAAACTATAAAGAGATAGTACTAGACATTCATAGGAATAGCTAAAATTTAAAAAAACTGACAAAACCAAGTGTTGATGAGGATGTAGGGAAACTGGAACTCTCATGTACTGTTGTTAGTACAACCATTTTGGAAAACTGACAAGAGCTACTAAGCTGAACATACACATAACCTATGACTCAGCTCTTCCACTCCTAGGTGTGTAGCCAAAAAAATGCACATATACATGCACCAAAGGAATGTTCATAGCAGTACTATTTGTAATAGCAAAAAACTGGAAACGAACTAAGATCTTAGTTTCTTTGCCTACTATTTGTTGATGATTTCTGCCAATCAACTATTTTGCTGATTGATAGGCAAAATTGATAGCTAGTATCACATACCAGTCTAATCGAAAATTTGGGCTAGAGAGAAATTTTGGGTACTAGTTTCTTTGCCTACTATTTGTTGATGATTTCTGCCAATCAACTATTTTGCTGATTGATAGTATCACATACCAGTCTAATCGAAAATTTGGGCTAGAGAGAAATTTTGGGTACATAAGAGTAGGGACTCTATTATGATTACCCTCTCTCAAAGCACACAACATAATGTCTTATATATTCAACAAACTTCAACAGATATCTATTGAACTGAACTGGGTTAAGGAAAATTCCTAGGTTGGGAGCATTTATGACCAACAAAATGGTCTTATCACAAATATAAATAAAGAAATTGGAAAAGAGAGCTGGTTTAGATTAAAAGAGAACTACTTTCTCTGAGTCAGGATAAATGTAAAAGGTTTACTTTCAACAGTCTTCCCCTGAAGCTTGTGCTTGATTGAAAGTCACCTTGAAAAAGTGTAAAAAATAGTACTTAAGTACTGATGTCAACAAAGATGAACGAAAGAGAGTACATGATCATGCAGTCAATGAGAACATCAAATAATTAGCTGTGATAATGCAAATAATTAGCTCGATAAGGGAGTTACTTGTCCACATTCACATAGGGGATTTTTAATATACACCCTAACTCATTAAAGTCTGTATTGTGTGCCTGTGGCTCTACTGGAGCAAAGATGAAAAACAGAGCAGTGGTGAAAATGATCAGAACACTGCAACTGAAACTTACACTTTAAAAACCAAGGAAACTCTTACTGCTTTCAGCTGGAACACCTGCCTCCACTTGCCTCCTAAGGAAATATTCTGCTTCTAATCTCCATCGTGTTGAGGGGCGATCATAGGCTGAGTCTCACTGGACAGGAGTTGAAGATCTGGTGGCTCCTCATCTGCTCCTGGGAGTAGTGTCTCATTAATGACATGTTTCTGCTCTTTTGTATAAGCTGGAACCTGTAAATAATGAAGTAATTGGGTTTGAAAGGAATCCTGTGGCTAAAACTTGGACTAGAGATCACAGGGAATGAACCCTCAGGATAGGAAGCAGAAGTAGCCTAATCCAGTCTC